CACAACATAATGACTGTCCTCCACATCTGCACAGCTGTGTAATTCAGTGATGTGTTTTCGTGTCTGCTGCTTCATTGGATCTTCACAGAGGGAAGAGTTCAATGATTCTCCGGCTGCTGAGTAGATGGGCAAGGAGTGAGATAGCGTAATCAAAAAGGGAATTTTCTCCCAGAAAGCTGGTCACTAAGTAGCGCGCGCGCGCGCGCACACACACACACACACACACACACACACACACACACACACACAAATTTAAAACATCTATGCAAAGCTGTAATTTTTAAGATAGATTTTGCAGAGCCCATTATTAAGGATGAATTCACCTCTTAAATGTTTCCATTTAGGTTGCCCCCCAATGGACATACTAAGTCACAACCAAACTTTACCACCCATAAAAGGAACAATCTTCTTTACTAGTACATGTGAGGAAACAAGGTCACATCACTCTCCAAAGCCTCACAAGACACGGGTATTTTTCTTAAATCAACTCATTAGAAAATAAACATTTTTAGAGTATTATTTTAATACAAACTTTAAAAGTCAATGGATTTAATAGAATCTGCCTCTGAGGAGTAGAAGTTGAAGCAGTAAAGGGGGCAAGGGTCCCGTGGTTTGGCTTTGTTCGCTTGTGTACTCCATTTCCAATCCTTTTGTACCAGTTACAGGAAATACATAACTTTTGTAACATTATAATTTAGAAAACTTACCTTCTCTTAATCAGAGGAATCTAATACCTAATTAGCCTTTTTCTCCTTGTCAAAAACACCACTGCTAGCAAACAAAACAGTTAACTGCCTATTAATGCTTCAAAGGGTTTCAAAAAGAGAACTGTTATTTTTTTACTCACTTTTGTTAGAAAAGCTAAGCTTGTTCATGCCATATTGGGCAGGAATTTCTACCTACAGTAAGACATCAGTGAGAGAAAATAGCTGGAGGGAGATTCAGAGCCAGCATCAGAATTAAGCATTCACTCTCCATCAACCTCCGCCATCTGGTGAGCATGAGGTGCTGGCTGCACCGATAATCAAGTCCCCGGGCATAATGCCCTCAACAGACAGGTAGCAATCTAGGAAAGTGTGGTGGACTTTTTTTCCTCTTCCTATTTTAAAGTTGTAACAAAAAAATCCATAAAATGCAAGAGCATCTTAAATAAAATTTACTATATATAAACTATATATAAACTGACATAATAAGACCACTACAAACGTAATATACTTGTATGAAAAATATGAACTGTGTTTTTACAGTAGGGGGAATCCATATTATTTGAATGGCAAGATGACTCGGTGAGCCAAAGGCCACTGCACTTGGCAGGGTTTCTTCACAAAAGCCTCCTTTTTGATCACCAGCTTGATTTCTTTAATTATCTCCCTCTTCCCTCCCCTCCCCCACCATAAAAAAATTGAAGGTAAAGTGTTTGGTCTCTCTGGAACTCCAATTTGAGACCTTTCTTTTGTTCTTTGATAGGAAACACCCAAATTACCCTCTTGGGGAACACAAACATCCATCTCAGCTGTGGCTTGAGTTCTATAATCAAAATGTGTTCCCAGGACTGGAGATAAAGCCAAGCAGATAAGCACTTGCTGTGCAAATACAAGGATCTGAGCCTGATCTTCAGCACCCACCTAAAAGTGTGGCTGTGTAGGCACATACTTGTAATCCCAGTGCTAGGGAGGCAGGATCCCTGGGTCTCTTTCTCCAGCCAGCCTAGGGTAACTGTAAGCCCTAAGCCCTAAGTCCTAGTGAGAGAGCCTGTCTCAAAATAACACGGTAGACAACAGCTGAGAAACAATGCCCAAGACTGACTTCTGGCTCTACACACACACACACACACACACACCAAAAGCACATGCACCCATGACCCCCACACACAAAAATTCACATATAACCACACAACATAAAAACATGTTCCCCAACAGTTCATGTCCTCATTCTTTTTCTTTCTGAGACAACCTTCTCTATCTCCCACAAATATGTCTTGCAGGTTTAACCCTGTGACTTCAATTCCATAAATTGGTGATTTTTTTCTTTTGAAGAAAAAATATTTCTCTATAATCCTTAAAGCAACTGGCTTCTTTAGAAACTCCCTCAGCAACTCCAAAGACACCATTTTAACTGAACCGAGTATTCTGAGAGAATTAGTAGAGGGAGAAAGCTGGCTTCATTTCACCCTTGATCTTTCCTTTTCTATTTTTGTAAAATTAAAGAGAAACCTGTAAACTCAGTTGGACAGAATTTGCTGGGTATTCAGTTTGGAAGTTAGTGGAGGATGCATATAATTCTAAAAGATGCTGCCTCGCCCATTTTAAAGAGCATTTTTGTACTTATTCATTTGGTATTTATTAAGTAGATTAAGGACAGTGCTGCAAGCTCTGAAAGACACAACTAAGTATGAAACTTAGGAAACGCCTTCCTGCACTTGCTATCAGAGCAGACAAAAATAAAAAGCACTGTGCAATTAGACACTGAAACTGTAAAGAAGCTTGATCATTTCCCCTTGGTGCAAGAGAAAGATGAAATATGACACGGCACTGAGAGGTGGGAAGGGTCTGAAAGGTGAAGAATGGGAAAGAGCGCTCCAGGCATTCTTTCAGCAGGAGAAGGCAGCCTGAGTACCCATCTCCATGCAAGGTAAATCTGGAGCATCTGGAGGGCTAGCAGGTGGGCCACTTTGACTACAGGAGACAAAATTCAGAACTATAAGACAGGGCTAAGAAGATGGAAGCTGAGGTTAAAAATCAAGTTTAGAAAGCCTTGACTGTCAAATCCTAACCTGTGTTTGAGTTTTGTCTCACAGAGAACCCAGTCTAAAGGCAACGAGGAAGACTAATGTAAAAGAATCTTGAAGATGGCCTGAGAATCTAAGCACACCCCTGCTTTCAGTCTTGCTTGCTCTTCCTCTGTGTCTCCACTCTACTCTCATCCAGCATGATCTTGAACATGACACAGTTTTGTGTCACTTCAAAATGGACTCATTCTCTTGCTTATAATAGTTCAACACTTCACAGTGACTTTGAGGTAAAAAATCCTACCAACCTAATACATGGCCTTTAGGCTCTGGTCCTACCTTGCTCTCCAGACTGTATGTATGTATGTATGTATGTATGTATGTATGTATGTATATGTATATATACTTTAAATTAGAAACAATCTTGTTTTATATATCAATCCCAGTTCCCTCTCCCTCCCATCCTCCCATGCCCCCCACTGGACAACCCCCCTCTCGCTATTCCATCCCCCATCTACTCCCCAGGGAGGGTGAGGCCTTGCATTGGGGATCATCAAAGTCTGTCACATCATTTGGGGCAGGGCCTAGGCCCTCCCCCATGTATTTAGGATGAGAGGGTATCCCTCCATGGGGGAATGGGCTCCCAAAGTCCATTCGTGCACTAGGGACAAATACTGGTTTCACCACAAGAAGCCCCATAGACTGCCCAGGCCTCCTGTCACTCACATTCAAGAGGCCTGGTTCAGTCCTATGCTGGTTCCCCAGCTGTCTGGCTGGGGTCCATGAGCTCCTACTTGCTCAGGTCAGCTGTTTCTGTGGGTTTCCAGACTTGTTTCTCACACAACAGCATCATCCAGGCCCTTTCTATCAGACTGAAGGACTCTGTCCTGCCTTTACCTCTCCTCGGGCAACCTCCATAAGTCCTCTTAAGATCTCCTTAAGGTGTTGTTTCTCCAAACAAGTCTCTCAGAGCTCCTCGAATCCAAATCAAGTTTCCCAGAACAGCTCTTTGTTAACGAATTTAAATCCACAGCCTCATCTGGCACATCCTTGGGGGAGGGATTTTTTTGCCTAGCACCTACCAAAGAGCCAGAAATGTATTAGACACCAAAAAGTATTTGTTAAAGTAAAAAGATGGCAGAACAAAAAATGAAGCCAGTCATAAAATAGAATCATGTAGGCAGCACTTCAAGAACAGGCAAAACAATGACAGAGAACATAGTAAAAAGGCTAAATTGAAAGTGAACAAAACTAGCTCTCTCTCCCCAAATTAACCCAATCTGGTGAATCAGTGTAATGTTTTGGATAACAATATCCCCCATAGGTTCATGTGTTTCAACAACTCAATTGTCAGCAGTTTGTGGTTTAGGGGGAATGGCCTTGTTAAAGGAAGACTATGAACTGGGGTGGGGGAAGCTTTGAGAGCTTATGGTCCTGCTCTCCATGCCTCCCCATTGTGATGATGATGGACTCTGCAACAGTAAGCTCAAATAAACCTTCCCTCCTATAAGTCATAGTAGTCATGATGTTTTATCACACCAACAGAAAAATAACTAATACAATATAGTTATGCATATACACTAAATATACATATAAGTATATTTTATATGACTATATTATAAGTTCCATCTATCTTAGTAGTTTCCAAATCCTAACTGTTCCTTATTATCACCCAAGTAAGGGCTAGACAAATCAATTAAGCGCCTGCCCTACAATGAGGTCCTGAGCTCAGGCACAAGGGAGGGGAACATGGCTCAGTGGTGAATCTTTGCTGTGCAAGCACGTGAAGCTGAGTTCAAATCAGCAATAACAAAAAGTCAGGTGTTTTATGACACCAGTGCCATGAGGAAGCAGAGACAGGAAGATCTCTGGGGCTTTCTAGTCACTTGCTTAACTCCAGGTTTGGTCATATACCCTGTTTCAAAGGAGTAAGATGAAATTGATGGAACACCAGATGTCATCCACCAGTCTCCAAGTAAGCACACAGACACACAGGCACACAGGCACACAGGCACACACACAGACACACAGACACACACACACACACACACACAAGGAGGAAGGAAGGAAACATTCTGATCAAAAGCAATCTGAGGATGAAAGTATTTGTTTGACTTACAAGTTTAAAGTCTGTCATCACTGGGAGAAGCCAAGGCAAGAACCAAAGCAGAGCCCATGAAAGAATGTTGCTTACTGGCTTGCTTCCTGCTTCTGCTCAGCTAGCTTCCTTATACAACCCAGGACCACCAGCCCAGGGGTGGCACTACCCACATCCAACAATTAACAATCAAGAAAAGGCCCCATAGGCACTGTCACAGGCCCATCTGATGGTAATTCCTCAACTGAGATTCTCCTCTTCCCAGGTGTGTCAACAAGAAGAGTTATCACAAGACTTATACAGGAAACCCATCTTTTTCTTTTTAACATGCTTTAATTTCCTTTGAATATTATGGTCATTCAAGTTCCATGGTCAAAGCATGTTTAGAAATTACTTATCCATATAACGTGTAAGTCCATGTCTATGCACAAGTAATTGACAGAACTTAATAAGTAACCTAATATGAGAGCAAAGGGATGCATTGCACTACTTAGGTTTTGAGGCTGGTTGTCCTGGATTCGAAATTTGCATGTAACAGGACAGGCAGCCAGCCAGCCAATACTTGTTTAATGAATGAATCAGGGAAACAGGAAGAGGGAACACATTCTTTGAGAAAAGACAGGTTTGATGTTGAATATACGCGTTTCCCAATCAACAATTAAATCCTTTGTCTTCTGGGACTCTCAACAGCACTCTCCCTTTCCTGCCTTAAGTGGGTGCCTGTCCTTGCCACTACCATTTGGACTAATATATGTAATGACTCTTCCTGGGGGAAGAGCAAGATTTTTCTTTGAAGCATTACTCTCCCCACGATGTGGTCTCGCTGGGACTATAAATCAGGTCCTACCCTAAATCAAGACAAAAGGAAACTCTCCTTGACTTTGAAATCATGAGCAGTGTGTCCTAAGAGCAGAGAAATCCACTGGTGTTCATCCATTCTTACAGTGGCAGTTTACATTCATTTCTGTTTCCTAGATCCCTTGGTGGCCCCAGCTTATGCCATTTTTACCCTATCAATTCTATGAATATCCTAATAAATCTGCTTTGTACAAGTCACTTCAATACCTTGCAAACAAATGAACAACAATATTAAGCAGTACTTAATATGCCAGCTCTGCCTTGAGTCACTGCAGAAAATCTTCCTCTTCTGGCCCCAGACTCATCCACTCTAGCTCCTGCACTGGGAAGGTGTATATTGCTCCAGACAGTTCTGAAATCAATGCTGCAAAAACAAAGGGGAGGAAGGATGAATGGGGAGAGGGGTCCTTTTCTTGATAGAACTCAGAACTGTGTGAAGACTCAAGATAATTCTGATAACAAAACAATGTTTTCTTAGTTGTATATAATCACAACAGGTTATTGAGTAGAACATCTATCTTGTGCTCTATAATTTAGTACCATCAAAAGATTAAGGAGTTATTTCCCCCTGTGGGGAGTAACTCAAAGCCACAATTACACTATTAGTCTTAAACCACTTCTCATGTATTACATTTTGAGAGGTAGGGCCTTTGGGTATTCATTTTAAGTATCTGCACTGTCAAAATTACAGAATATTTTTGAGTTGACTGGTTGATAACTTTGGGTTTTATCCCTCAAACAAGTGCTGAATAACTGACATAACATCAGTGTTTCAAGAAAAAAAAATCAAAATCCAGTGTTCAAGTAGACTAGAAATAATAGAAGTCCAAAGGAAAGTTATGGAGCTTTTAACTGCCTTTGCTGGTTGTTCACACGCTATTATATCTACCAATGTAGATGTTTTCCTATTCTTAACCCAAAACCACTCATCCTTCAAGAGTTAATTTAGATACCCTCCAGTTTTCTGGAGGTAGATGAGACTAAGTCACTTCTTCACCTCTGTTCTCACAGCACTTCTTTTGAGATGCCACACAGAGTTAGAAAGGAAGATAGTGGGTGCAAGGGCTTGTTTTTCACTTGGTACAAAGTTTTCAGTTTTGCAAGATGAGTGGATGACAGGCAGCAATGTTAGCACAGCCATGGGAATGACTGGGAGGCCCTTCCTTGGACTAACTCCACTCTTCTCATCTGTTTAAATGTTACATCATTTGGGGCATATTTTGCCTTTTCCGGGCCAGAGGGGCTCAGGTACCCTTGCTATGACATCTCTGCTCACCAAGTTCTTGCCACAACTGTAATCTACAGTTATGCCATTTATCACTTTTCTATGGCCACCATAACAAAGTACTACCAACTGGGTTGTGGGGGTACATTTATTTCTTACAGTTATGACCAAAGTGGTAGAAGCTTTGGCTTCTCCTGAGGCTTATTTCCTTGGCATACGGATGGCCAATTTTTTTTAGCATACACATCTCTGGTGTGCTCAGAAGTTTCCATCATATAACACATGGCTGGAGACATAGCTAAGTGGTAGGGCACTTGCCTGGTGTGTGGCTTTAGTTTTCATCTCCAACACAGAAAAAAAGAAAACAACAACAACAACATACCAGGCATACTGGATTTGGATTCACCCTAAAGGTCTTGGTTTTACTTAGTTGCCTCTTTATCTCCAAACACAGTCACACATTCTGATATAATGGGGGTTGGGACTTCAAAATATGAATGGAGGCATAAGTTGGCCACATGTGGTTAGGCCAGTAACAAGGTCATCGGTAGTAAACTGGGGGACGAGAACTTGGTTCTCATTTGATGAACTGCTAGGCTCTATTTTTCTCCTTTGGGGAACTGCTATGCTCTATTCTTCTCATCTGAGGAACTGTTATGTTCTCTTCTTTGTACACTTTACCTCCAAGTCTTAATACATCAGTATTTCCTTGACTTTCAAGACTTCCTTCCCACTTTCATCTGAAGAGGACCATCCTGGAGTAAATTTAAAGTGACCCTAAAAGTCACTCACCACAATAGTTTTCTTTCTTCTGGAGTACTTACTACTTTTTAATGCACACAATGCCAGCTCCAAGAAAAGGTGGTAATGTGTTTTTAACCACTTGGTACTCTGCAATGTCTCACTCCCAGTTATGAGTAAATGTGTTTCTGTAACCACTTAACACATTATGTCTTTATTTACTCCACTGGGAAAACCTTCAGGGCTTTTAATATCCGGAATGCTTTATGAATCTCAGTTTTACCACCTCTCCAGCAGGTTGCTTAATACACGACAATGATGTGTTCTTCAGTGTTCTCACAAGGTACAGCACCCAGTTCAAAAAATGACGTCCACTGCATGCAAATTGCTAAATGTTACTCAGTGTCTTCCTGAAGTGTGGAACCTGAGAATGGCCTGGGGAAAAGTCTTCAGGGGGTGCAGTGAGCACTAAACGGAAAAGTACTAAAGCTACTACTGCATTTACAACTGTTTGCCTTAATATAGGCCTCAAGGGTTTTTTATTCTTAATAATTTAATTGCATTTGTTGTGAGGTGTGAGCATGTGTGAAGTCAAAGGACAACTTCCGTCCTTCCATCACGTGGATCCCAGGGATCAAACTCAAGTCCTCAGGCTTGGCAGCAAATGTCTTCACCCACTAAACCATCCCTGGCCCCTTCACAAGTTCTTTGTCGCCTTTCCTCGCGTGCAGCTCCTGCTAGCTCCTGTTTTTCTTCCTGTTTGAAAGGGAAATTCTCCAGGCTCAAAGATGCACAGCAAACAGGTGTATGTATATTTACCAGTTTTGTGTGCAGCGGTGCAACGGGGCATCGTCACTCCCAACACTGGGTTTGTGGCCACCTCCTGCAGGGAGTTCTAGAGAACAAGCTACCTAGGGAGCAAACCAGTAATGTTTTTAAAACTTTTAAACTCTGGCAGCAACCTCAGCGGCTTATCAGCAAGGGCCCTACAGACGGGGCGCTCAGGGGTCCCCTGGAGTCGCGGCGGCCCGGAGGCCCCGCCCACAGCTCCAGCGGCCTCCGGTTAATCTGCCTTCCTGAGGTAAACCCCCGCCCGCCTCCCGCGGCAGCCCGAGTTCTTACCACAGCGTCTTGGGGAGAGACGCGCTCCCATAGGAGCCGAGCGAGAAAAGCTAAAGCAACCATTGAGCACTCGGAACGTGGGCGGGGCAAGACCGGGTGCTGGGGTGGGGCAACGCGGCAGGGTGTGGCCAATAGGGGGTGGGGCAAAGGCTGAGGCGGGGCTAAGAGCTGCGGCGAGAGACGGCGACGTGGCGAGAGGAGGGGCACGTTTAGTGCCACGTCACGCTCAGCGCTTGACAGTGCGCAAGCGCCGTGGCTCCGGAGCCGCTGGAAAAGTACCCAACATGGCGTCTGAACGCAAGACTAAGTTATCCAAGAACCTGCTGCGCATGAAGGTGCGGGGGTTGGGGGTTGCTGGGGTGTCGGATGGGGCAGCTGAGCCCCGAGATGTCCCGAAGTGACTCGGGCCGAGGCGAAACGGGCAGACTGCACCCCAGATTGGCCCCGGATGGCCACGGCCCACCTATCCATCCATTCATTCGTTCAGCCTACCGGCCATTGGGCACCTGGGGTGAGATTATGATGAGGTAGACTCGCCTCAAGCCCGAAGCCCGTAGTGGGGACGGAGCTTGCACGAACGTAAGAACCTGCAGCGACTGCCGAAGTGTTAGGGCCGCCTGGGAACTTAGGCGTCTCGCGAGAAATGGTCCTTAAAAAGAAACCACGTGAAAGGATCTCAGGTAGTGTCCTGAACCAGGGTAAGTGAGTTCATAAGTCTGAGAGGGAGAAAAGAAAATTACAGACGTTTGCAAGAACAAAAGGCAGCTGGGACGTCTGAAAGGCAAGGGGCATAAAACTAGTCTGTAAAAATTAGTGGTCACTAGGAACTTTGTGATCCAGACTGAAGTTTTGTTCCCCGTTATCTCATGAGCAGTAAGGAAAGTGTTGAGCCCGGGAACAGTCTCATGAGTTGTTACCTATCAAAGCTACGAGAACTGTACTGTGGATAATAATTAATGAGAGAGAAGCCCAACCCCACAACACATAAACTTACAGGCAGAAAGACCAGCTAAAAGGTCCTGTGCTCTGGATGAAGGTTGTCATTGTGGTTGGAATGAAGAAAATTTTAAGTGGGGTGGAACGAATTGTCCATCAGCTTTTAAACAAAATCAAAATTTTAAAAGGTTTATGCTTATTTTTCTTTATGTATGCCTATAATATACACCATGTGTGTTCAGGTGTCTATGAAAGCCAGAAGAAAGTGTTGGAACCCCTGAAACTGGAGTTGTAAGCTGCTAGGTGTGGTTACTGAGACCTCTCTGCAAGAGCCAGAAGTCTTAGCCACTGAGCCAACTATCCAGCCACATGATTTTTAAATTTGAAATTGAACCAATTTGAACCAGCAGTAGTGGCTTGGTGGTACCCATTTGTAACCCCAATACTGTCAGCTGCTTAGCAAGTCTGTGGCCAGCTTGGACCAGACTAGAGACCCTGTCTCAAAGTGTCAAAAAGACGACAACAACAGAAACCTGAATGAACTTAACTACAGTCTGAAAAGGAGAGTGAGGTTAAAGTCACATTAATTAAGATGGGGGGGAAGCTAAATCTTAGGACTTACATAATAGTAATAGAACATATTTATTATCCTTCCTATATCCAGACATTGTTCTTGTTTCATATATAATAAACCACTTAATCCACATGGGAACATTTGAAGTAGCCACAGTCATTATCTCCATTGACACCTGAGGTATCTGAAACAGGAAGTAACAGCTAAAAAGACTGATCATCTGGCCCCAGAGTCTTTGCTGTAGTCTCTACCACCTGTCACTGAACGCACAGGTGGCACTTGACTTAAACGTCTCACTCAACAGTATTATAAAGATTATTTAACACGGGCAGCTGCCCTGCCTATGAAACGGTGTAGGTTAGCCACACAGTACACTGTAGAGTTTCTGTCATTTACCCCTAGGATGATGTGGCTTTCTGGGAGTGGTGCCCCATTGCCCCCACCACAGTGGAGTCCCCTGTTACATATGGCTAGCACAGGAAAAGGTCAGAATCTAAAGTACTGTTTCTGGTGTGTGGTATTAGATTCCCACCATCTTAAAGGTGGTTCATTAATCTAAACCTTTTTAAGGCGTGGGCTGTCAGTGAGAGCAGTGGCGTTTCCAAGAAAAGGAAATAAGGAATGAATGAGTCCTGTGTTGAGGGTCAGGGAGTAAACTTTCCCTGGAAGCTTTGAATGCAGTTGAGTTGTACTGCAGCTGGGAGTGAACAGAATGAGGATGGAGGGAGGGCAAGTTGCCCCTAATTTAGTTTGGCAAGTACTTCTTTCTGTGTGTGAGCAAAGTTTGAGTCTTTACCAGTTTAAGCAGTTTGTAATCATGCTGATTGCAGAGAATTAGAGCGGATCTAGGAAGCACTGAGTAGTCTTAGCTCTTGGAGTAAACCAAATGAGCCTGTGCTAAGCATACAGGGTGGACACTAAAGATCTGCCTCTTGGCTCGAAAATAATTAAAGCAATTATTTCCCCTCACCCAAGTGAACAAGATCCAACTGGACATGACAAGTGTGTGGGAGAGCATTACCCATGTTTTGTTTGTCTTAGCAGCTGTATTGACAACGACCTTGCTGGTGGGACAGGAGGTATTATGCACAACTACAGCAGTGTACTAGGAGAAGGCGTGGAACAGAGTTGCTTAGGGCCATTCAGGTAGAACTAATAAGGCAAGCATGAGAGCATTGGACATTTATTCCTGACTCACTTGTCTTCAGTACTTTTTAATTAAAATTTTAAAATTATTTTATGTGTATGAGCATTTTGCCTACATGTATGTCTGTACCACCTGAGTGCCTGGTACCCAAGGAGGCCAGAATAGGTTGTCAGGTCCCCTTGAACTAGAGTTACAGAGGGATGTGAGCCCCAATGTAGGTGCTAGGAGTCCAGCCTGTCTCCCCTGGAAAAGCAACCAGTACTCTTAACCACTAAACCATCTCTCCAGTCATATATATATTCATTCATATTCTTGTATGTGTGTCATAGCACATGTAGACACGTAGACAACTTACCAGTGTTGTTTCTCTTTCCAAGTGGGTTCTGAGGATCAAACTGAGGTTGTCAGCCTTGGAAACAAGTGCTGTTACCCCAGGACCGTCAGTATTCTTGAATTCATCTGGCTGGGCCATCTATTTAACATGGAGTCATTTCTGGTGGGACAGAAGGATGTGGGTAGAAGGTTTGCCAGGGTGACGGTTTGGGTAAAGATGGTGCATTTTGGGTTCCTTTCTGAACCTTAGGACAGGACTTTGTGCTTTGTAAGGGACAAGATAGTAAATGTTCTAGACTTGTAGGCCAGTGAGGACCCATGTACTACTGAGCTCTGCCATTACTGCCCAGAACTGAATCAGCATGACTATGGTACGGTAAACTGTAGACCATAGAGAGCCACCCTGAGGGCTGTGGTTTCCCAGAGTCTGCTCTGGACCCTCAGTTTTGAGTGAGGGGAATGAAATAGCAAGATCTAAAGTCTGTCCTAAGACTGTGAAGTCAAAATTGAACTTCTTCCTAAACCTAGATGTGCTTTATTCACAGCCATATTGTGTTCTGTTCTCTCTATCCAAGGTAGATATGTGTGACTGTGTACCTTAAAGTTTCTGGTGAGGAAAAATGGAAGATATAGGGCAGTTAGGATTACACCAGGAATGTAGGGGCAACCTTGAACCACAAGGGAATCTGGAAAGCTAAAACAAGTCCAGGTTCATTGATATTCAGAGGACTGTTACTGAACTAGTCTGCTAGGTGGCCTGTGTACCCATGGTACAGATGAGCTAGGACACTGACACAGTTCGGTTTTGTTTGGCAGTTCATGCAAAGAGGCCTGGACTCGGAAACCAAGAAACAGCTAGAAGAGGAGGAAAAGAAGATGATCAGCGATGAGCACTGGTACCTGGATTTGCCAGAGTTCAAGGAGAAAGAGTAGGTTTACTGGGGTTTGTAACCGTGGTTTGGGAAGCCCGGTAAAGCTGACTTATCCTTCTAGTGCAGTGCTTCCTTTTCTTCTAAAAACTATTAATCTGTGTGTGTTCCACATGGACTCAAACAAAGGCCCAAAGATGGGTTATTATACCGTCAGGCCTCACCAGCTTTGTTTCTGTAACTGTCCTTCGGTAGGCCAAGGGATGTGTGTTTGTTTGTATCAGTACTACACTGAATACCGTTCATGTCACAAACATTGCTATATTGGTAGTCTATCCTAAACTAAGCATTTCATTTCCCTTAGTTAATAAATACAGAAACCCAAGCATACCCAGCATCATTGTGTCCTTTGCTGTTGAGGAATTGGAGCTTAAGAGAGTTGTTTTTCCCAGAGCCAACTGCCTGGAGGGACAGAAGCTGGGTAATACCTAAGGTAGTTTTTGTTCTGCTTCCAAACCTGTCTAATACATGAAAGAGTCTTGAGTTGGACAGTGGTAGATTCACCTCATCTTTTTGTCTAAATCCTGCAAGTTGTGTTGCATTTTAGCTTGTTCATTTTCTTACCTCAGTATGGTATATTATTTACTTACACTTTTGTTAAAATGACTGAACATTTTACCTACTGTTTTTAGATACATATTTGTCTTTCCCTTTTCCCCTTGTTAATTTGCAGTTTAGTTAGCTGTGTTGTTGTTCTTTTTATTTTTTTTTTTTTTTACTTTATCTAGTCCTTTGGGATGGTGACATATTCTTCTGGGAAGAGAAAGTCCAGATTCCCAAGAAAAGTGACTTTTTTAATCTGTGTGCTTCTTACAGGCTCTAACTATTAATCAAGATGAAAAGTTTCCAAAAGATAATATGCATAGGAGTGGGCTTAGGGGGAGGGAGTAGCATATGAAACCTGGAGGTAGTATACATAGGAGTGTGCAGGGGGCTAACACAGATGACAAGGCCAAGGATAGTGTGAAGAAAAGTATTCAGGGGACTGCACAGACAGGAGCCAAGGAACAGTGTAAACAGGAGTGTGCAGGGGGATTAGCACAGATGATGAGCCTAGGGACAGTGTGACCAGGAGTATGCAGAGGGGACTAGTATTGATGAGGAACAGTCATTTTATGTGTTGGTTGAGTTTGCACAGTCTTCTAGTTATTTACCAAAGGGTAAGACAGTTCTGCCTCATTTGGGATATGTTTTTTTGTTTTTTTG